AAAAAAAAAAAAAAAAAAAATGTGCAAATTTCAAAGTAGACATAATGCAAACTTTGACATGGGTCTGCCGATCGTCTGTCCGCGAATTAATTACGATCGATACACGATCGACCAGCCGAATAATAATTGGATCGACGAAAAGCTCGGAGAAAGTAACGTGACATACACCTACGTGAGTACGATTCTCAGGAGATAACTGTATCCGAGGTGTGTATGCGACATACTAAGCGCAAACCAAATACGACATCGGTATTTCATTGAATACGTACGCGCGTTTTTTGAGCCTCGTCTCAGACATCGGAACAACTTGGAACGTCACAGAGTGACAGTTTTTATTTATACGAACAACAGAAAATCGATCACTTTGAAACGATCAATTAGACGCAATTAAATGATGAAAATACTTCGTACATCGGACAAAAAAACACATCTGAAATTCCGATTCTTATCGATTATTATCTGAGATATGTCGTACGAGATACTTTTTTTTTAAGTGATCGTTAATCACCTATTTTATTTAAGTGATCGTTAACGTTTTACGTCTGCTAATCTTCAGTTCAAAGAATTGGAATTTAAAATTCGAATTCAAATTCCATGGATTAAACTACAATTTGCTCTTTGTTTTTGTGACTTAAGTATGATTTATTGGAGACAGGTGCATTTTCTTTTGATCTGAAAATTTGATCATATCTTTAATAATTTTAATAATTTTTTTTCCAGATTGCCGACCTATTAATAGAGATAAATGCATTTAAAATTACACTTGTATCGCTGCATAATTACTACAGTGCTTGATTACTGTACTCCAATACGTAAGTATATATATCAATATCTTTATACATTAAATATATTTGATACAAAATATACATCAAATATACATCAAACTGTAAATGTTTCTCACGAATTACTCCGTAGTTTATTGCGCATTGCTACAGTTTATTGTCTCAGGATCATATCTGAAACATCCGTCGCGAGAGAAAGCGCACGCTGAAGTTCAAATTAATCGCGAGGCGTACCGCAGGAAATGGACTCTGGCCCAACTTCTGGCGAGCTAAATTAGAAATCCAGCAGCATCAATAATCTAAGTTAAGCGATATTTAAGAGCTCGTGATCCGACCGTGGCGTATAAAGTAGCCAGACGTTCCTTCCCATTTCCCTTGGCCCGTGGAGAAACGAGAGCCTGGAGCAAGCCAGTCGGATCGAGACGATCCCGTTTCACGCGCGTGCCCGACATTCGCGAATAGGAAAATG